AACAACTACAAAAACATGCTCTATAAATGAGCGAACAAAGAACAAATAAATCTGAACAATTTTTCAATGGCTCATCCTTACATAATAACCGTTGAATCTCAAAAAACAAAAAACATGTAACAAAGTTAAAATTTACATTTTTAAGATAGCCCTAGCAAATGCATTATTGTCCTTCAAAGGACGGTTATAAAAATTAGCGAATACATTTGATTTTTGGGACCAACCAGCCGTGGATCTTATTAGGTCTAAACTTATACCACTTCTTTTTGCTGCCGAAGTAGAGGCGTGTCGAGTACTATGCGATGTGAATTCTGTAATATTTATCCCACTATCCTTGAGAGTCTTTCTTATCCATCGACTTATAGTCTGAGCACCAGCTTTGCAATGAGGTTTCTTAGTAGCTATGAACAAGAACTCCTCCTTTTTGTCTCTCAATTCTTTCGTTTTTCTCAAATATGATATTAAAGTGTTCGCAACACACAATGCGGGTCTATCGGTGAAAAAAGGTATATGTAAAACTGGTTGTATTCGATTATTGCCCGACGTTTTAATCCTATCGGTTATTTTAATAACTAGTCCATCTGGATCTTCTACAATGTTTTCAACTCTAATAGCCGCTAATGTTTGTACTCTATGGGCTGTAATTAGAGCAAGCAACGTAGCCAACTTCCTTGTATGTACCTCCAGGGTTAGGTCTTCGTTAGGAAAATGATCATTTAGATGACTCAAGACGGTGGTAGGATCCCAAATGCTGTTGTACCTTGGTTTCGATGGGCGTAAACGCTGTACTCCTCTGAAAAACCTTTTTATACGAAAGTCGTTGCCTAAGAGTGGGGTGAATATTAAAGACAACGCTGACCTTGCAGAATTCAGTGTTCCATAAGAAGCCCCTTTTTGAAACTGACTATCTAAAAATTTCAACACATTATCCACTGAACTCTCGAACTGGTTAATCCCCTCAAATTTACAAAACTGCCACCATGCCTTCAAACCGACATCATATTGCTTCAGAGTAGCAGCTGATAAGGATGCCAGCATGATGTCTGTTGTTGAATCTGACAATCCTTTCAATTTGAAGGCGTCTTTGACAACACTCCGGCAACCAGGGTAATCTTGTGCCAGAGTGGATGTGGACACCTATCAACAGATAATAATTTTCTGTCAGGAGTGAAATAAATCAAATCTGATACTAAAAGTTTTTGGTAAATTGGAAACCACGGCTGATTTGTCCAAAAAGGGACCACAACGATTCCTTTGGCGTCATCTCTCATTATTTTCTGTAAAACCGGTAAAATGACCGAAAATGGAGGGAAGGCGTAGAAGAATTTACTATGCCAGTTTATTGTGAACGCGTCGATGGCCAACGCATCTGGATCTTTTTTCCAGGATATAAAGGATTCACATTTAGTATTGTTTCTACTTGCGAATAAGTCTATATCCGGAAAACCAAATTTGTCAGTTATTTGAGCAAATGCCGCATCGGACAACTCCCACTCAGTTTCGATTTGAAGTTTCCTAGATTCATAATCTGCCTCTATATTTTCTTCAGATCTTATGTAAGAAGCAAAGATCCGGATGCGCCTGACCTCGCACCACTGCCATATTTCTTTGGATAGCTTGTTTAAATGTTCAAACCGAATGCCTCCCATTCTGTTTATGTAAGCTATGGCAGTGGTATTGTCAATTCTCAAAAGAATTTCACAATCCTCAAGTTTTTGGGCAAAACACTTCAGAGCAAAATAGGCTGACAGTAATTCCAAATGGTTAATATGGAAAGCTTTTTCATTATCACTCCAATAACCATTTGCTCGTTTTCCATTACAGAACGCACCCCAACCTGACAAGGAGGCATCAGAAAAAATTTCCAGGCAGAAATTGTTTGTTGGGAAAGGATTTGATGAAGATATAATGTTATTTATCCACCATTGAAAATCCGATGTTAATGATTTAGGTATTGACATTTTTGTGTCATAGTTTCCATGACAATTTTTCAAAGCTAAGAATTTTGCTCTTTCAAAACCTTTAGAGTATGCCCAACCATATCTTATAGCAGGACAAATAGAAACTATTTTCCCAACAAACTGTGCAAAATTTCTTATTGTACAAATTTTGGAAACCTGCATTCTCTTGATACATTCCAATAGATGCTTCTTTTTATCATGAGGAAGTGTGAGGGACATAGCATTGGAATCAAAAATGAAGCCCAAAAACTTGCAGACATGTGAAGGAATTAACTGGCTTTTTTCAAAATTCACTATAAAACCTAGAGCCTGAACCAATTCAATTGTCTTGGTGATATTAAACAAGCATTCTTCATATTTCTCTCCAAACAAAAGAAAATCATCTAGATATATAACAGACATAAGGCCTGTTTGCCTAAGAGATGCAACTACAGGTTTCATCAATTTTGTAAAAATAAAAGGTGCTATGCATAAGCCAAATGGGATACAGGTAAACTGGAAATATTTTCCATTGAACCTGAATCTAAGATATTTTCTAGAATCCTTATGAACTTTGATTAAAAAATAGGCATCCTTAAGGTCAATTGATGCAAGAAAACAATCATGTGTCATCAACTTTATGGCAGTACTTTTATCTTCCATCTTGAAATGGTCAGCAGAAATAAACTTATTCAGATTTTTAAGATTTAAAATGAATCTCTTTTTCCCATTTGGTTTTTGCACCAAAAATATAGTAGAAATGAATTGGCCTTCACAAGGCTCACATCTGGTGACTGCACCCATTCTCAACAGATGTTGGACTTCTGCTTCAATATCTTGTGCTTCTATACTTGTGAATTTTTGGACAGGAGGTGGAATTTGTATGGGCTTACGATTGAATTCCAAACTGTATCCTTTTATCCAAGATAGTATACAAGAATCTTTGGTTATTTTTGAGCAACTGGTGCAGAAATTTGCTTAATCGCCCAGCATATGAACTTACCACCACATCTAATACTTCCTTCTGGGTCTCTCCTTCATCTTGGATGAAGACACCCCTGTTCGCTGAGGAGGGGCTCTCCTGGGCACATATCTTTCGGCTTGATATGAATTGTTCTGGAAGCCTTGCCGATTGTGATGTTGACGTCCGCTCGGGTATGTTTTTGTCCTGAGCGGACTCTTGGAGTTTAAATATCTGGTACCTTGTTTCTTATTCTGAGTTTTTGGTTTCAACTCATTCCCTGATCTCTCCAGCAGTTTTGCTGTCTTTATTCTTTCAGCCAGATCTTCGCCAAATAGCCATCCATCTACTGTCCCACTGGTAAGAGCATCTTTCAAGTCTCTATTCAATGACATACTAGCCAAATCCCTGCGTGACTCAGAATCAGCATGATACACATCTGCCAGCAATCGTGCTGAATCACTCAACACCTCGATTAATATCAATGGGTCAGGGTCTTCCCCCCCCTCTTGTTTTTTCAATAACATAGTTAGTGCTTTACCCACAGCACATAGAACATTACTCAACTGTCCTTGGTGTGCAGTTAACCGAGAATCTCGTTTCAAAGCACTTTCGTGCATTGCCCTTTTCACTTCAGGATTCAATTTTGGAGGAATAATAGCTGCACAGTTCTTAACTCCTGGATATTTACTAGAGAGAGTGGTCTTTGTTGGTTCATCCAAACCATCTTTCAATATTTTTTCCCAACGAGGTACTAGATTCTCGTGAAGATCTATTTTATTGGTATCTGTATTTTCACTTGGTTCCCCCAAAGCATTCAAAACCCCTTCCTTCAAGCTGGTAACTTCCACGAACTCTATCTTGAGTGGGTCAGCTTCCTCTTATTCTATTTTCCTGTCCTCTTCAGGATAATCTGGAAAAAAGTAGGTTTATCTTGAGATAAAACCCGCAAATCCAACTGATTCATTTCTTAGGTTAGTTTTATTGATATGTTATGTGTTCTGTTCCTCGCACACAAATTTACCAAGGGACATTATCATCACAGAAGATCTGTCTAAGTCCTTCTCTTCGACCGAGGAAGAAGAGAATAAAAACAGGAAGATGAAGTACTCAACCTCACTTTATAATTGGCCAGACAGCCCATAGCCCGTGGCACCTTAGCCAAAAATAAGGAGTTGCCATCAAAAAAGAAGAACTTTCCAACCTTACTTTTTTCTCGTCTGGCGCTTATTTTTCCTTGCGTTCCCGCCAAGATCTGTGCCATGTTTCTGCTGCCGACTCAAGTGAGGTTATGAAACGTTCCTAACTATCATATACATGATAGTACCATACTCATACGAGATTTACTGGATCGATGTCCTATACAGGATAGTTTTCAAAACGATTAATAAATCGCTAGGATTCTGGCTGAATTCTAATTACCATATACATGATAATACCATACTCATACGAGATTTACTGGTCATCCTAAACTATAGGATACGAGGAACATAAACACACCTTCTCTTTTCTATTGTTCTAAAACATGACAAAGGTATTAACTATTCAAATACTTACGTTCGTTCTCCTCGTCCGATTCTGATAGAAAAACTATATCAGACGAGCTGGATCTATCAGATCTCGCATGACGCCGAGATTTCTCTCTTTTCTCTAGCAATTTTCCGAGTTTTTTGAATTTCTTTTAGAGTGTCTTCAACTCTTCGTCACTACTTTCACTTTCACTTGTCGAATAAATATGTTTTCTTTTATTTCCCATTGCAAATGATTGAAAAATTTTCAACAAATACGTGAGCGTGGCTAACTATCTAGCACAAAATTAAGGAATGAAGGCGGCTACACAACGGTGGCTGTGGTATGCCATGTAGCAGTGGCGGAGATAGGGGTATTTTTCTGTGAGCTTTAAAAATTGTGGTAACTTTCTAGGGGAAATTGGGGTACTACATAGTTATATCATTGAGGACAAGGCGTGAATATAATTAGTATTTTTGCAGAAAAAAAAACTCTAGTACGCCACTGGCACTGGATTTCCGGATGTTCGGCTATCTTCGGAAATTTCGACAGCTGACCTTGGATGCCAGCACGCTGCCAGCTGCCACGCCAAGTGCCAACCAACAACAGCCAACTTCGCATCTCTTGAATCTTGAAGTCTCGAACTCTCGAAGTGATAAATTAACGACAATTTGTAGGCATTAACGAATTATGTGATTGTTTTCCAGAATGTATTTCTTCAATATATAAATAACATTGATCAGGCATCTATCTGTATTATGAAAATTTCTAAGTTCTAGTGAGCTAGTGAGCTTTACATAACCTATCTGTTTCCATGCCCCTCAGGAGATCATATTTTTTATTAGCATTCTAGTATTTCTAGTTCACCTGTCACCAACCACCAACTGAGAAGAATGGCGAACAAGAGGCGTCGTAATGCTAGCCAATCTGAGAATTCCAATAATAAAATCAAACGGACAAAATGTTAGTATTCTTCATTTCCTACAATGAACAAAATGAACTTTAATTGTTTCAGTTACATTAGATAGTGTTAAACTCCCTGGAATAACAACTGAAGGAGTTGTTCTTGTAACTGGTGCAGGAGATGTTGGTCAGCTAGGCCTAGGACCTGATGTTCTAGAGAAAAGTAGACCTGCTTTAGTTAAATTTGATCATGAAATTGTGGACATTTGTGCTGGGGGAATGCATACAGTGTGTCTTACTAAGGAAGGCAAAGTGAGTCCATGTCCATAGTACTCCTGTACCTATTTAATTATTTTTCTGAATTTAGGTACTTACATTTGGTTGCAATGATGAAGGAGCTCTTGGTAGAGTAACTGAGGGTAAAGAGGATGCAGAATTTGAAGCAGATATAGTTGAGTTGCCCTCTAAAGTTATCCAAGTCTCAGCTGGTGATTCTCATACTGCTGCATTGTTAGATGATGGAAGGGTCTTTGCTTGGGGCACATTTAGGGTAAATAATTTGTGCATTATGAATGGGTTCCATAACACACTTTTTTGATAGGATTCACATGGAAATATGGGTATGACCCTCAATGGAAATGAAAAACTTCCATATGAAATCATCAAGGATGTTCATGTTATTAAAATAGCATCAGGTGCAGACCATATAGTATTTCTTACTCATTTTGGAGATGTATATACATGTGGATGTGCAGAGCAGGGACAGTTAGGTAGAACTTCAGAAAGAGGGAGTAGTAGAAATGCTAGAAGCGGAATGGGTAAGGGACAGATAGGTATGGATTGAGGAAGGTTTGCAATTTTCCCTTTTTTATGTTTTTTTATTTATAGTAGGAATACATTATTTAATTTAATCCCAACAAATTTCAGTTAATAGCTGTTCTATTCAACCAAGTATACTTACAATCATCACACAATTATTTTAATATAGTGAATGCTACCTAGTGCATGGTATTAGTTAAGAAAGTTATATTCTTTAGTCTGTTATCTACCATTGTTGTTCATTTTGTTGATTTATTGAAAATTACAGAGTTTTTCCTTCACTGTAATTATTGGGACCATAGTTGCATGTCACAAACATAAACAGTATTGAAATACAATCATCCAGGACAATTTGAAACACTTATAAAGCCACAAGCTTGAAAACTTTTTTCAGTATTTCAATGCATTCAAGCAAAACTTCATGGCATTGGTAATTTATCAAATAGAATAAAAGTTTATCTGGATTACTACCCAATACAAACAGTGCTGGAATGAAATCCTTCATAACATTAGGAAAGAACTATTAAAGAGCAAACAAGTTTCAAAATGATCACAGGATATATGTCCTGATGGATCTATTTATTTTTCATCATAATATTCAAGTTTAACTGTCCTTCATCATTTTTCAATCATTGTAAAATTTCATGATACTGTGATATGGCTTGGAAACTGAGCTACACCCTCAGTATACTCTAATTATTATGTTAAACACTGATGTTCTCAACTATTCTCAACTTTAGCCTAAAAATGTACCTAATATTCTCATATTATTATATCAAAAATATGTTCTGTCAATTAGGTTCACATAATATAAAGCTTCAAGAAAAGAACCCTTCTTGAACAGTCATACGTATTTTTCCTTTACTTTCCTTCAATGAATTGATAGGCAAAGCAAGTACCTACCTACCTATAACCATTGAGTATTCACACTAGGACTTTCACTAACATCTGCAGCAATATGTTGAGTTTTTCCATCAAATCCAAACATTAAAAACAGCAGCTCAGAACAAAATCATTGATAATTAAAAAAAAGGAAGAAACAGAAGCTGCTGCTCTACAATCAATACCTGCTGTAGTTGTGTTGGAGTTGGATTGAACTGCTCCTCAAGTTCTATTGTAATGGAAAAGGTCATCAATATTTCTAACATCAACACCCTGTATCTTTGTGTTATGTTAGTCAATTAGTGTTGGTATTGTTTTTGTCCTCTTCATGGAGAAATCTAAAGAAATATTCCTTCATTTGGAACTTTTTCTATATGAAAAATCTATAGCACACTATTAAAATTCAATGTTTTAGGGGTTTTGGAGCATTTTTGTAAATTTCATATTTATACATTATATACCATTTTGAAGGGAAAAATAAGGAACTTGATGAGTTTATAGAATATTTAAAAAATCATAAGTTAGAATCATATCTGCAAAACCATACCCCGAAAAAAAATTTGAGCGCCACTGGATTCTTCGAAAAATGGGCGAGTGGACTTATAATAATGAATTATTGACATTCAATTACTTCTCTATCGTTAGGGACCTTCACGCTATTTTTTATGTAAATAATTGGTGTATGCGTCGTTCAAAATTGTTGAATACCCTCATTTCAAACATACCGTCATGACCACCATTTGGCGATACGTGGAATAAATGGTGACGTCAGCTTTTATGCTGGTCAGATAATCTTCCATTCCCACTCACCATGAAAGGTAGTCAACTCACAAATTATAATCAAGTTATCAAAAAGATAAAAGAGTCTTGTCGTCGAATAAAACATAAGAGGAGGAACCCACTGCTCTCACTCTTCATTTGTTTCGTCAGACTGGTTCGTTATATAAACAATTGAATTTCAGACGATGACGTGATGTTCACATATTTAATGTTAGATGGCGCGATTCCTAGAACTTATAATCAACATCAGTTCTACCAACCTTGATGCGGATAAATCGCAAAGTTTATTCCCTTTCTTCATTGGTCACAATTCGGTCACAATTCCAAGAATTCCAAAAAAAAAAATGGAATTGAAAGGTATTTAAGTAATGATTCTATTTGAGAAATAAAAAAATTAATCTACTCGCCTTTCATAAACGGGAACAGTTATACAAAATCTGATTAGGCCACCTTGAGTTTACAAAAGAGTAGTACAGGACCACGAAAACCGCAAGGTTCTATCTCCAAAGATAACTGAGATATCATTCAAAAACACCGAAACCGGGATACACTGTGCATTATTTGGTCTTGTTAACATGAAGTTGACGGAAACTAACACTTATGTTACGAATTAATTTTTTTTTCAGCTAAACTTCTGCAACCGTCGATGATTAGTCTCAAACCCAGTCTGAAACTACATTTTGATAACATTTGGGCTGCCACCTATGCAACTTTTTGCAGGGTAGCCAGTAGTGGTGACATTTATGTATTTGGACTAAATAACTATTCTCAGTTAGGTAAGAATCGGAGCTATCTGTAGACTAGATCAATAATGAGTTTTCACTAATAGTTCAGAATAGGCCTTTTCATTTAGATGACAAATGACTATCTCTGTTTACATCTCGCATCCAACGACAGTGGCGGCCATTTTCACCGAAACACTTACATCACAGTAACGAATAAGTAACGTTTTTTGGAATTAAATTATTATAATACAATTAATACACACCAGGAATATAAAAACAAAAATACTATGTTGTTTCTCAATGATGAATGCCCATGGTGGTTGACACTGTAGAAATTTGACAGAACGTCAATAATACCCGCCATATTCGAAATGGCCAATCAGCATTTTGGATTGGAACTATAGCCAATGAGACTTCACCTTCCCGTTATCCAATAAATTTTTGGATCTAAAAACGAGCGCATGCGTCTTAAAAATATATCTGAATGAAAAGGCCTATTGGTTCTCAAAATATCAACAAATGAATGTTAATGCCGAATCAACTTAGTTCCATAGATTAAACAAATCCTTAATCTATGATATTGTGACACTGCTACAATAATTACAAGCACTTGGTGTTCAAATTGGTCTGTTTCAAAAGTTAATTTTTTATTCCTGGTGAAATGAGCGACTATAGAAAAAATCTGATTAAGTACGCTACTGGATTGGCCTTGAAAAAGTGCCTTGAAGATTTTTCCCTATCTAGTCCAGTGCCGGATTAAGCCAGCGCGGGGCCTGTAGCGAATTCTATCTTTACTCTCTCTCAAGAGCAAATAACACAAAAACCGTTGAAGCTAGATAGTTTGATAAAGAGTACATTTTCCATGTGAAATTGAACGAGCTTTCAGATTTTCCACTTATTTTGATCATCAATTAATTGACATAGAATATATGATGTAAATTATGAAGTAACAGAGTGCCACTAGCGATCTCTATGAGCAATCACAAAATAAGTTGCAAATTCACATTCCTCAGGTCAGAAAACCTACCTTACAAGATTTCATGTTCATGCTGTTACAACTAAAGGAGTTATTGTGACATTTTGAAATAAAATCTCCCCCTAGAACACTCCAGTGGCGGCCCGTGACTTTCATGACAGAGGAGGCTGAATGATATGAAATTTATTGTGAACTCTACTCACCCAAATCAATAGCTTCAATGACATTCTGTTTACTAGTTAACCTGAACTTAATACTTGAAGAGATGTGTTCCTGTGATTTGCAGTGTCTATCCAATCCGCGAGGCAAATTTTTCAAATCATTATATATCCTAATCGCACCCAACATGATGACTTATCGGTTGAAAATAATACGCAGTACCAACGAAATAGCTTATTCCTTACCTCAGATCCCGTCAACCCGATATATTTTTTAGAATTATCAGAATTGAACGAACGATTTTGTTTGTTACCTGTTACAATCAGATTTTTCAATTCCGGTGTCGGACGCACTGAATGGGTTCACCAAAAAGTATTCCACTAAATCGCAATCGTTTAAAACACTCATTTTTCAGAAATTCATAGAGCCCCTAACCATTAACCTAACATAAACATAAACAATGCACTCGCGTTTGTCCGCAATTCGCGAAGCGACACGACAAACACGTGCTATTCGGGCGTATTCGGGCATTTGCATTGCGCGCGTAGGTTGCGCAATGTGAAAGAGTCTAGCCTCCCCATAGATGTTGCCAAGTTGAATATTTTACGCGTGATTTGCAGACTTCAACGTGTGATGCGTGGGCAAGCACTGTTGCCAATTCAAAAATATTTAACTAAAAACAGGAAATAAAATCAAAATCCATGTATTTTGGTGTCCTTTTAATGAGAAAGTATTGATAATATTAGTTTGAGGAAAATCTCTGAGGAGGCTCAGCCTCCGTTGCCTCCTCTGAGGAGCCGCCACTAGAACACTCTGTATCTCCTGAACGAGCAACATTCTGATCAGGCATATTGGGCTAAATCTCGTTATTTTAGTGTTTACTATCTGTAGTTCAGAGATTTCCCAATCTTTATGAATCACCCTGTATACAAAATTTTTCCCAAGGTCTGAAATCTCAGAAGCCACACTTTATGCCGACTTTATCGAAAGAGTTTTCAAAATATAAGTGGAGTTCGATAACTAGTGGTCAACACCATACCATAGCTTTGGACGAAGAGGGAAAGGTTTACGCCATCGGTAGAAAGGACTATGGTAGATTAGGATTAGGAGCGGATTGTGAAGATGCTGCGGAACTGAAGTTAATCACTACATTGGAAGATAAGAAGATTATCAACGTAGCTTGTGGGTCTGCAACGTCATTTGCTGTTACTTCAGAAGGTAAAGTAATAATTATCAATAACTAGCTGACCCGGCGAACGTTGTTTTGCTATTTAAGTACTTTTTTCTACTCACATAACTAAAATGGCATTTAGCGCACGGATATGTACCACGCTAAATGGTCGATTAATCACGGATTGACGATCTGTGATTTATTCAAAATATTAAATACGTTACCATGGCAACACGATTTCTTAAACACATTACCATGGCAACACAGCTTCAGTAATTTGAGACATGTCTGGCCTGTCAATTGTAGGAACTGTCAACTGTAATTTTCGAATTTTGTATCAGAATTATTCAAACAATTTTCGTTTGTATCAGAATTCTTCATTAAAAATATATGCGAAATGTAGACGAAAGAGAAATCGAAGAGAATGTTTTGGTACTTGCATATCTCCAAGAAGTGTAAAAATGAAGCATCCATCTTTGAGAACAATAGAACAATTTATTCATTCTGCGCTAAGCATGACAATAAACGTGAAACAAAGGTTAGTAAGCAATGGACTGGACCGTTACCACCGATACAACAAGGCCTGCTTGCTCCGTGGGTGACGTCACTTAGTGAGGCCTAACCAGCGGCTCGAAACGACAAGCGCTTATAGCGCTATAAGGCGACCGCGTATTTCGATTTTAGTTTTAGATCATCATTGAGTCGATTTTGCTGTTTTTTGAAGGGCTTCCGGTTAAAAAGGATGCCAGTCGTCAAATGAGCCCTTCTTCGCACCCCATTCGATTTTATTATGGAAAAACGAAGTTTTAAAGCAAAAACCAGGATAAAACAAATATCCACCTACAGCAACCCATTCGAATTAAATATATTGGCAAAAATTGTGAAGGTAAACTTCACACCTACTTATACAGGGCCCGCAGAACATAAACTTATCGTGAGATTGATCGAAAGAAAATTGTGGAAAATGTATTTTATTTTGATTGACATGCCGTTTGTTACACTTACCTATATTTATCTTGGAGAATTCCTATTACCTGAAAAAATAACCAGTGAGTGTTTTCAATTTTCTGTTGTTGGATTTTTCACCCAAGTGGATCGTTACACTTGAAACCGTAATTTTTAAGGGTAAAACTGCATTTATCATGCGATGGTTTTTTTTTTGAAATTTTTTTTCGGTACTCACGTATTTTTGTCTGATAAACCGAATTTTATAATGAAAATGTGAACAAACCACTATTTATTGAGATATTTCAAGAAAAAGTTCGAAATTTCGCCTTCTTTCTCCCCTTGTGTTGGGGGCATTTGAAGCTACTTGCTCTTATTTTGTCATTGGACACTTTATATACTCATGATGTACTTCGATGGCACATTTTTATATAGAGTTTTTCATATTTAGTGAACAAGCATTCCAGATGACGACCATTTAATCAATAGTCAATCAAAATACGAGATGTCAAATGTCAATAGATTGCTTTCGAATGACATTACACACGCCATTATTTTGAATGATAATCTTCCTTCTTTTCACTAAATATGGATTAATCTCAAGAAAATCATATTTATAGTTGAATTATATATAAATTGTCCAATATGATGAAAAATAAGGGAAATTTGTTCTAAATGCCATCCACAAGACAGGTGAAAAAGAAGAGGAAATTTATTGGAACTTTTTAGTCAAATATCTTCATGATAAATATCATGATAAATGCAGTTTTACCTTTTTGAGTAGAGTGTTTGTAGTTCATGTTAATATGATAGTTGCAATTTGATCATTGGAATGAATTCTGCATTCATTGCCACGAGGCAAATGACCGTTTTCAGAAAGAAATTTGAGAATGAGAATTAAAAATGCCCGTTTATTATGAACATTCAAGAAAATTTTCTCGAATTCAGAGATGATTTTGTTGACTATAATATACGAATACAAAATTAACTGCACAATCAAAGCTTTTCTATTTTTCCTCTACTTATACTTTTTATGAGAGAGTAATTGTCTTCTATTATAAATTAAGCTCTGTTTACTACTGAACTTAGATGGAGTAAAATCCTCGCGGTGGATTGCATATACCCACATTTTCGATAGCTCCTCGTCCAACGGGAAACTAAAAGCCCGAACTTTTGAACCACCCACATAATTCCCCCGACAAAAGGGAACACAACACTTGAAAGGCATTGTTATTTCGCCGATCACAACACAAAATATTTCACACAACAGTAATTTTTCCGCTTATTATTTTGATGAATAAACAACAAAAGAATTCGGGACCGTTTCAAAAACATACGTGAATCACCGATGAATTAACACGAACTGACGCGTTAGTCGACAAGCGATAAAATAAAACACTGGCCTCTCTTGGTAACGTCACGAGCTGTTTACGTCAGAGTCTGCTGGCCTTGTTGTATCGGTGGTAACGACTGGACACATCAACAACCAATATTACTCAATACGTGTCTCGCTGGATGCATGCAGTTGCATGTATTATATTGTCAATTCCCATTCCTTTCGAATTATTTTGTAGGTTAGCAGGAATAGCAGGTATGTTAATGTAATTTTCGGAGTTCGTAGAAAAATCTTAGTATACAACGCGTTCATAAACTCTTCTAGACACTCGTTTATTAAACACTCGCTCCGCTCTGCTCCGCTCCTGCTTAAAATACTCGTTACTGAAAGGACGTCTATAACACTTGTTACATAATATAAACTACTCAACACTAATTTCGTCGCACACCAAAATGTCCTGTTATAATGTGAATAACTTTTTTCAGTTCAGAACAATTTGAATTTGGTTTACACTGTTCGATAGCCCAGTCCTTCAGCTATAATCTCGTACTTCATTGAAACATGAGGGTATTCACATAAAATCTCTACATGGTGTTTTCCGACACTGTGCAAAATTTCGGAATATTCAAATGGCTCTCAAATGGTGAAAAACATTTTTTCCCAACTTCGACAACAGAGGCATGAAGATGATCTCATTACCTCGAAATGTTTCGCGAATCAACTTCCTATCTCTCTTATTTACAGAGTGATCTCAAAAAATCAACTTTCTGGTTTTACAGCCATAACTTTTTTCCACGTCAACCGATTTTAGAAATCTTAGGCTCATTTTGAAGATAAAACTTCAGATGAAGAGATCTGAATATCAGAATTGACTCAAGATGGCTATCAGAGATCTAGAGTTTCCTTGAAAGTGACCCAAATCTGGAACGCCCTCCGAATCTCGATTGGGAGGAGACTTGAATGAAAATCAACTTGTTCTCGGAAAAACAATTAATTCTGGATGCGTCCATATTTTCCTCGCTCTCAGTAGTCAAGAAAGTTCGTGAGAAAACACAATTGAAACATGTTCTTGCATCAGACACATCAGATCATTTCTCCTCTGTAATGCATGGCCCGTAACCAACGTTACAAGAATCACAGTAAGTGACTGACAAGTCAGGTTAGACGTTGTTTTCGAATCATAAACAGATTTCGATAGTTTCGATGCCTCATCCAAAGCGAATGTGGGTGACAACTTTGTTCTCGTTGATGACAATGCAAGACCGCATAGGGTTGTTGGTACATCATTTATGATGAGCCTTAGCTGGTCGGGTTTGTCAGTCCATTGTGATTCTTGTAACGTTGGTTACGGGCCATGCATTACAGAGGAGAAATGGTCTGATGTTTTCGCAAGAACATGTTTCAATTGTGTTTTCTCACGCACAATTCTTGACTACTGAGAGCGAGGAAAAAATATGGACGCATCCTGAATGAATTGTTTTTCTGAGAACAAGTTGATTTTCATTCAATTCTCCTCCCAACCGAGATTCGGAGGGCGTTCAGATTTGGGTCACTTTCAATAAAACTCTAGATGTCTGATAGCCATCTTGAGTCAATCCTGATATTCAGATCTCTACATCTGAAGTTTTATCTTCAAAATGAGCCTAAGATTTCTAAAATCGGTTGACGTGGAAAAAAGTTATGGCTGCAAAACCAAAAAGTTGATTTTTTGAGATCACTCTGTTAATAAGAGGGATAGGAAGTTGATTCGCGAAACATCTCGAGGTAATGAGATCATCTTCATGCCTCTGTGGTCGAAGTTGAGAAAAAAAATTTTTCACCATTTGGGAGCCTTTTGAATATTCCTAAATTTTGCACAGTGTCGGAAAACACGATGTAGAGATTTTATGTGAATACCCTTATGTTTCAATGAAGTACGAGATTATAGTTGAAGGACTGGGCTATCGAACAGTGTGAACCAAATTCAAATTGTTCCAAACTGAAAAAAGTTATTCACATTATAACAGGGGCGACATTTTGGTGTGCGACGAAATTAGTGTTGAGTAGTTTACTATTTTTATTTCAAGGTGACTTATATGGATGGGGCATGGGTACTAACGGACAATTAGGAACAGGAGAAGAAGACGACTGTGAGGTACCGACTTTAGTCAAGGGCAAACAGCTCCAGGATCGCAGAGCTTTTAGGGTCAGTAGTGGTGGACAACACACTGTCATATTAGCCAAGTCAGGTTCGAATAATAATCAAGGTGATACTGTTATCTAGATGAATTTGCAGCAATACATTGTTGACTAATGCATATTATATGACTGATTCGAGGATAGTGAAGTTTGTAAGTGCAGGCTGGGTTCTGACTTGGCAAAACATTCCTGCAGACTGTGTTTATTTTTTTTGTAATTCAGAAAGTTTTTTTAAGTAGAGGAGTTATCATGATAACAGCAGTATTCTTTTGTTACAGGATTTGATTTATCTAGTGTTTTTGCTTGGAATAATAATTGATTCCATATTTTTTTTGTGGAGTTTACTTTATTGGGTGAAATGATTTTGAACTGCCCAAAATTGATTTTATTCAATTATGTTAAAAGCAAAATAAATGAACAAAAAATATGGGACAACAAAATATATTTTGGTACTTTTTAATATAAGTATCCTAAGATCAATATGAATGTTAATATTAAGTCGAAGAATTCGAATTTAATCTTGTACGATATTTTGACTTTATTTTTTACTTGTTCAAGCAAAATTGTTGGTCTTTGTTTTTCAATGCTAAAACTAATGATGACGCAGTATTGCAAAGAATTAATCATTGATTTGAACATATCCTTAGCTCCTTTTGTTGTTCTCTTTATGTTTCATGTTTGTAGTAACAATGTTTGTAGTTTATGAATACAATTGTTTCCACTGCCATCCTATATTTTGTAATAATTTCATGTATCATTAGTCATTCTATATTGTTGATAAATAAATGAATAACTTCACAAATAATAATGTTATTGTTTTATTGAAAAAAAAAGGATTATAGATTCTAGGAGCACATATGCCTGTGCATAAAGACCAGTTACAAACATTTTCTGCACGACGGGTATATTTGATTTATCATTGTGAATATACAGCTCTTTACATATCATACAGCTCAGTGTCCCTGTTGTGTATTTATCTATCAGATAGGACTCAAAGTGATATTATCGAAGAAAATCAATCCACCACTCTCGTGAAACCTTTTGGAGTACCACAGGGATCTGTACTGGGACCACTCCTGTTTGCGCTATATATAAGTGATTTTCATGAACACATAAGGCATGGCAATATACATCATTACGCTGACGATATTATATAGATCTTTCAGTTTTGATGACTTAAAACATGCTGAAGTTGAAATCAATGAAAATCTTCAACTACTGTTCGAAGTTTCGTGTGCTCACAACTTGAAACTGAACCCAAAAAAATCCCAAGTCATGCTTTTTGGTCCAAGAACTAAGAAACATATTGTGAGTGACACTATTTCTATTCGAATCGACGGCAACGTCATACCTTTTGTGGATGAATGCAAAAATCTGGGTTTATATCTTATTGATACTAATATGAGATTCACTAAACATGTATGCCACTTATGTAGGTTATCTTTCAATATCCTGAGACAGTTATATCCTAGTAGGGACCTGATTTCAAAAAATATGAAGTTGAGACTGTGTGAATCTCTCATTTTTTCGAGACTGTCCTACTGTGACTGTATTTATGGTCCTGCCCTACTAGATACAGATGCTACAAGGCTACAGAGGATACAAAATAGCTGCATACGGTTTTCATACGGCATCCGTATAAGTATAACCATAAAGAGGTACAGGGGGTGGTACTTTATAACGTGACACCCTCTATATACCTCATTCTTTCCCACCCTTCTTATTATACCCACTTTCCTTATCGACACTTGTTAGTCATAGATAATAAACTTGCTCGAGACTTTATCGTTAAACAATGACATAAACTGATTAGTCATTAGGGTGAATCGGGTGAATCAAGCAATATATCAGTCACATACCAGATTCCGTCGTGTACGGTCGATTGAAGTGGTTCATAAAAGAACTTTTATTCCTAATGAGTGAGAAATCAGAATTTAATTTTCAGTTTAGTGATCATAATGCAATTGTGTGTGTGAGTGAGGTTATGATTGTGTGTGTGTGTGTGGTGATTTGTTACGCAACATTGAAGTTTCTTGCCATTGGACATTCACGTTGTCGTTTTTTAAAGATGGTAAGTGTTTTTTTTTTATATGAACTTATTGTGAGGTATTTATCATTCAATTTATTCATACGTACTGGGCTACTGGGTATTTCAGACTTGATTGTACAGTGTGTCTAGTTTTCGATGCTTTTGCGCAATTAATATCTAAGTTATCTTTGGATATAGAGTGTTAAGGTTTTCAAATTACTGCCTTGATTATTTGTAGAACGAATAATGTCGCAAACATAATTTTCACACATTCCTCCATGTTTTTGAGAAACAGGGCGAAGTTGAATATTCTCACATTTTGATCACCTCCCATATCTCGAATACTTTACAACTCATCGGCAGTATGAGAACGGTGCCTTATACAGGGTTTTTTTTTTTTTTTTTTTTTTTTTTTTTTTTCGCCGAGGTGGTTGAAATCTTTTATAGACATCATATGGGTCCAATCCCCCATATGATAGTGTGGGAGTCCCCTCCATGGTATACCCACTAAACACTCCACCCCGTTGTAGGCTTCGACGACACTTAGGCCTAGTGGCCCATTGTATCTCACCTACATGCCGTTATCAATTTTACCACATACGACTCATGGTGCCTATTAAGGGAAACTTCAATATGAAAGACCCTTTTCGTTCAGGTTCCTGAAGATTGCTCTTCCGATCCCTGTTCTCGTCTACGAAGAAGGCCAAAAGTTTTCCTTCTCCTACGAGTGACGGGGGAAGGGGTTGGTCCAGCCCTGTGGTGCCCCCTGCACAGGGCTAAGGCTGTTTACTCTGGGATGTCGCCCTGTTTCCCAGAGGCCCCGTTAGCGACACCATTCCTCGGTGCCATCCATCCATCGCCACGGGTTCCCACAGCTTGGATTAGGTTGCCAGAGCCTCGTTGACCAGACCTCGACCACCTAGACAAACATCAGCAAATCGCCCCATCCCTGCCACAGATGTCCACAAATTGTCCCATCTGGCAGAAGATAGCAAAGATGGTCGCAAAATGCTTCATCCGCCAAGCGGCCGCGGCCTGCCTTCCCCACACCACTTGATGGTGAGGTTGGGCTTGAAGGGGAAGAGGAAAAGAGAAGTTGGCCAAGAAAGGCCGATAGAAAGATTGAAAATGGAAGAGAGAAGAGGATATCACCCAAGACAAGTTGAAGTATGGTGAATATCCGGCTAGGGTACCTCGGGTTCACCATTCCCGTACTCACAAGTTGTGAGCCCCTGAGGGGATCGCCAGAGCCTCGTTATCAATCCGCGGCCACATAAGCAGATGTTCACAAATTGCCCCATCCTCGCACTCAGATGTCCACAAAACTGTCCCATCTGAGTGATGATAGCAAAGATGTTCCCAAAATGCTCAATCTGCCGAGCAGCCGCGGCTTGTCCTCCCCGCACTATGGTGAGGTTGGGCTTTAGGGGAGAAGGAAAAGAGGAGAAGTGACCAAGGGGGGCCGACGAAGAAAAAGACTGGAAACTGAAGAGTGAAGAGGATACCATCAAAGACAAGTTGAAGATTAATGAGTATCCGGCTAGGGTACCTCGGGATTGCCATTCCCGTACTCACAAGTCGTGAGCCCCTGAGGGGGCCTTATACAGGGTGATCCACCTATCCGCGCCTATCAGAAGTATCTGGAGAACGAAAAGACAGAAATTTTGAAAATTGGGATGCTTTGATAATTGAACATTCTCTATCTGCCTAAAATATTTTCATCGATTCAGTGTTGCCACTTCTATCAGACACAACTATAGCAATTTCGTTATTTTAAATGGAGCACCCTGTATTTTATTGCATATTTGAATTCTTCGCGAAGAGTTGATTTCATCAAATGCATCACACTTGGGGTCTAGCAGGAATGATTACAGAGATATATATATATAGGGAGTTCAAAATCGAGATTATTTTTCAATTTTAGGATTTTGTTGTGTGGAAACAATTTATTATCGAACAAAACGGCTCACATGTCCCTATCTTTACTTTCGATTCACTATCTACTGACATTTAATTGGAACAGATACAGGCAGAGAGGGTGATCAGAATTTTAAATCTTGAAGCACCCTGTATTTTTACAATTAAATTCCAGTAGATAGTGAATCAAAAGTTGAGATAGGGACATGTAAGCCGTTTTGATCGATAATGAATAGTTTCGACACAAAAAAATCCTAAAATTGAAAAATTTCGATTTTGAGCACCCCATATATCTCTGTAATCATTACGGCTAGACCTCAAGTGACATTGATGAAATCAGCTCTTCAGGAAGAATCTAAAAACGCAATAAAATACAGGGTGTTCTATTTGAAATAACAAAGTTGCTAGAGTTGTTTCTGATAGAAGTGGCAACACTGTATCGATGAAAATATTTTAGACGGATAGAGAATGTTCAATAATCGAAGCATCCCAATTTTCAGAATGTTCTGTCTTTTCGTTCTCCAGATACTTCTAATAGGCCATCCACCGTGGATCACCCTGTATAACTTTGTACGAATAATACAGTGGCGTACTCATTCAATTTCTGTATTCGCTCATAATTAAAAATGGAATCCAACATATTTTCTTTCAAATGGGACACCCTGTTTATTTCCATCCAGTTCGATTCAGATTTCCTATGGCTCATCAAAAATATACAGGGTGTTATTTAATTGATGGCTGAAAATATAGGATATGATTCCTCAGCTCACTTTAAAATGAAAAGTTCATGTGAACATATTCTAACTAACTCTTCACCTTCGAACTATATAGGGTGTTGAAATTTTATTTTCTCTTTTTTTTACGGAAGAAACTTTCACAATGTTAAAAACTGTCACGTTTATGAATACTTGTCAAAATAAGAACGCAACATGATCGATCAAATGTCATTATTTCAAAAACGAAATAGGGCCCTAGCCTATTAGTTCACAATGATTTCGTTATGCCACAAATGCATGAAAAAAGTTTGAATTTTTTACGCGAAAACGATTTGTAGAACGGAAAAAAATCAGGAGGTTAATAATTTGTTGCAAAATAAATGAGGATTTCAGACAAGAGTTTTATTCTCGGAAAAATCATGGGCATACAACATTTCTTTTTCAAAATCTCCAGGATACATCCCAAACGTACGCCACTGGTAGAAATATTGAAAAATCTTCTGCATCAAAAAATGCCTATTATTGGTTTTCAGAAGGTGCATGTGAAATTTCATGGAAATATCTAGAACATTATTGAAGTTATATTTAGAAAACGATTTTTTTCTAAAAATATTAACACCCTATAGCTCGAAGGTTAAGAGGTTCAAGGCATATTCTTCATTTTCGGCCTTCAATTAAATTACACCCTGTATAATAGCTTGAATTCGTTCAGAAATCGATCAAACTCTGATAGCTCTG